CGGTGTGTAACCTTCTTGGGTGGCAGCCGAAATTTTGGAAAGGCTACTCGCGGTGTATAGCCGTCTCGGGTAGCAGCCAAAATTTTGGAAGGGCTACTCGCGGTGTGTAACCGTCTTGGGTGGCAACCGAAATTTTGGAAGGGCTACTCGCGGTGTATAGCTGTCTCGGGTGGCAGCCGAAGCTTTTTTTTTTCTTTTCTTTATCTTCTTCTTTAAACCACGCGGTAAACAAAGCCCGACATCTCCGAAAACGGTCGCGAAGCCAATCAATAAAAAAAAAACAATAACATAAATTGTAATCGCATAAAATCGTTTAAGTGGAACCCCGGAAGAGAATTTTGCGAGCGGGTAAAAAGGCCCAGCGCTACCGACGGAACGCAAAATTGCGACGAGCGGCAGCGCTCGCGCAAGACGAAGCGGAGCCGACCAGGCCCATTGACGCCACCTCCCCTCCGACATTAGTAGACGATTACGGCAGCGACAATAGGATAGAAAACCCCACCGATATACATATAAATCAATTGCACGCGCATTCACACTCACCGACACCTGCGGAACACGCACACACAGATACACATACACACGACGATTTGTGGTATGAAACTCCTTCTTATTCACCTGTAACCCCCGATCCTCCCGCAGAAAATCCCGCGGATCTGCAATCCGTCTTGACTCCTCCACCTCCCCCTCGCTCTCCTTTCTCCGAACCATCTACATCCAGAGACGAACCCGTAGATGATGAATCCTCCGACTCGACACGATCAACCACCCCTCTCCTCGATCCTAGATTTCAACACTTTCTCCGATTAGCATCCACCTATAAAAAAGCAAATCCGGAAANAATCCCCTTTGTCCTTGACCCTCTGACTACAGATCCTTCCGAAATTTTCCGGGTAATAACCGCCACTCCAGCTAGAAAACTCCTCCCAGTTAAATTCCCTTATATATATGATATTCGCTTAGTTCCCGTCCACCATTTTTATACAATGTTCTTTCCAAGTTCCGCAAAAATCCAGGAAATAATAGAAATAGACCTTGAATAATTCCTATCCCACGAATCACGGCATCTTAAACATGCTACCGACACAAGTACACCTGTAAAATCCCGCCGGAGGCCCCTCACACACACTTCGCGTCACGCATTCACACATATATATATATATTTCCCCTCTCTAGCCTCCGAGCGATGACCCTCCGTTTAAATGTAAAATTCGCAATACCATATTCATCCACACGAATACACATCTCAAAATTGTAACACCCATTAAATGAATAAATTAATATCATAATTTCTCTGATTAATTAAGACGACCTCTCATCATTCCACATCCTCAATTGATCGCACGGTCTCGTCCTTAGTCCGTGGAGTTAATTCTCCAGACTTGAAAAGAGACCAACGAGCGAGTGTTCGCTAGACAGAGTAAGATCGGCGTACGCCGTTGACCTGTCGACGAACATAAGCAAACTCGCTCGACTCTGTTGCAGCCGGATCGCCAACCTGCTGTGCGGAGGTAGACAAAGAAACGACAGCTCTCTGTTACTCCACCATAGCCCGACCGTAACCGTGGGCCAGGACGTAACATTATTATTACGGATAGTTAAGAGGGGCATGGGATCGAGAACGAAAGGTGTATGTCTCCACCCTTTCTCTTTCTCCTCTACCTCTAATTTGGCTTGCTGGCAGTGTCAAGTGGGCTGCATATAGAGGCAGTGTCAGTTGACAACTGCCTCTATATGCAGCCAATGTTGATTTATAATTACATTGTTTGGAGAGGGTTTTTGCCGCCCTTGTCCTACGATCTTGTGATATGGTCCCTTCTGGGNCCTTGCGCATGAGAAAGGCGGGGGCCCAGCAAGTAATGTCTTTGGACGTCCGCTGGTCTCTCCCGCTCAGTTGGCGCAATTGAGGACATCGAGGNGTTTTAGCGGGTAGGCTGTTTCTATCTGGGGGCAGAGTTGCAATCTCTGGCCGGCTAGCAACAAAAATACCGAGGTGGTAAGGGCACGCACTCAAGCGAGAACTTATGGTGTGTGTGTCCCCACTATCTCGATGTTCTTATTGCTAGCCGGGCAGAGTTTGCAACTCTGTCTGGGGGGCCGCTGGTGTCCTTCGGATCTCCTATGTGAGTGGTGGTGGGGGAAGATTTCTCTCTTGAGCGTGGGCCTCTCCTTCTCTCCTGCGGGAGGATAGTTAACTGCCGGCGGGGGCCCGGGAGATGCAGCTAGTCCCGCATATTCTTTGCCCAATCCCCCTTTGGGCGAAGAAATTTATAAAGGATTTCCCCTCGTTAAAAAAAAAAAGAAAAAAAAGGTTAGGTTGTTAACGGGGTTAGATACTATTTAGCCGGGTACTCACGCTTTACGCCGTCTTCCACAGTCGCCAGGTATTTTGACCCTTNTAAATACAAAGATAATTTTCCTTTTCAGGTAATTTGCTCGAATCCTTTTTGGATTGCGTACCGCTTCTCTGGGATAGACGGGAGATAACAAACACCACGCTATGCCACACAGTTTTATTTCTACAAAAGTTATATATTTCAATGTATATATATTTGTTCACAATACTATCAGCTATATACATTCCTAACAAACGCGCGCTCTGCACACAAGATATTTTGCTGAGATATTTCGAACAATTTTTATACGCACTACTTGACGGCACATCCGTATGGTACGCTTGCTCGATTGCAACTAACTAACTNGGCGCCGCGCGCCTTCTTTTCCGCGCGCGCGTCTACTACGCCGGCGCGAAGTAGTCCCCCTTTGGCTTGTTCCGCCTCCGTAGGGGTTCGCTCTTAAAAAGGGATCTTTTGTATGCGTGTTACCTGTGTATGTGGTTATTGTTTGAAGTGTGAATGTGTCCTTAAGGTGAATGTTTATGTATACGTGTAATGAACTAAATATTGTGATTAATGAACAAAATTGCGTGTGTACGTTGTGTGTGAGTCAAGTCTGTGTAAATGGTGTATGAATGGACTCTTATGTGAGCGTTTGTGTGTATGTGTATAATGGATCAAATGTTATGATTAAAGGATGAAAATGTGTGTGCATGATGTGTGCATGTGTAGTGTGCAAACGCAATATGCGTGAGCCCTTAAGGAGCGTGTCTGTGTATATTCTTATGAAGTGTAAAAAACATGTACTAGTGTGTATGGGCAAGAATGTGAGTAGTGTAGGTGTTGACAGTGT